GGATTCCTCAGTCCACAGGCCGATGCTCTATCCACTGAGCCAAACGGGTTTCGGTCAATGAAAAAAAAATTTATGGTTGGGGGTCACCACAGCATGAGGAGCTGTATTAAAGGGCCGAGGCATTGGAAGGTTGAGAACCACTGATCTAGAACTTGGTCTCTAAGAGTCATGGGGACACTGCATCAGGAAATGAAGAAGAAAGGACAATTCAGCAAGAAACAAGATTACGTGACGGTGGAAACTAGGAACACAGCCTTGAGCCAAGATCCTGCCGCCCAGGGGAAAAGGGCGGAGAAGTGGGGACGAGACGAGGCTCGGACAGTACGCCCAAGGGTCTCCCATGGGGAATGAGGACAGCGACACAGGCGGCACGTCCCACGGGACATCTCCCTGCGTGTGTCACTGGCGGGCTCACTGGTCCCGGGTAAAGTGATGAAAACGTACTTAACACCGAGACATAGAACTCACACATTTTAAAGGTAAAAATTGCACCTAAGGGGGCCTAATAAATGAGGATGGAAGACTTGACTGTAGGTGATCTTGTATTTTATGTCTGTGTTGTATTTTACTTGTGTTTTTCTGTTTTCTAAATGTTATACATGGAGAGGCAGTACATGGGTAACTCCGAAACACAGAAATCCGTCATTCTAGAGCATGCAGCTACTCATTTTCCTAATTGTCCCGCGCAGTATCCGATCTGTCTGCTACACCCAAGAATCTCACTGGAAGAGAAATTCCTTCTGTGTGAAACAGACCACCACATGCCCTGGCATCTGGCTCTCTCTCTCTCTCTCTCTCTCTCTCTCTCTCTCTCTCTCTCTCTCTCTCTCTCTCTCTCTCTCTCTCTCTGAGTCCCAGGAAGAGACAAATCGGGGTCTGCCGCTCTCAGGGCAAAGTTTCCTCAGGCTCCCAAACTCCTCCTCTGCCTGCACATACACACCTCTGTGCTCTGCGAAGCCCACCTGCTGTGGCTCCGTTCCGGGCTGGGTGCGGGCTAGAAGGGCTGTGGCACAGCCGTGTGCCGGGGCCGGTTCACCCTGGCTCCCAAGAGCTGGCTGTGCCCATCTCCTCCCGACCCCGCATCCCGGATGTGACTCTGCTAGTCTGCAGTCGGCCGTGGTGGGAGCATTTACACCACGGGAATCAGCAGCTGCTACATCCTAGGTCCTGCGCTACCAAAGCCAGTGGTCCAACACCTCCCAGCCCCCCACTGCCTGGCTCCCAGCAGCTGGTGCGGAGGAGGGGGGCTTCCTCTGACGTGTGGTCCATGGACCAGCCGCTTTGATGGGCACCAGCTGCACGGTCAGCGAGCCTCGGATGCCCTCTCTTTATGGCTCAAATAGCCCACAGAGACAATTCAGGAGGGAAAAAAAAAAAATCTGGATTGCCAGCAGCCCCACCACCATGCTCAGGGCCGCACGTTTCTTTCCCGGCAGGAGCACGTGCTTCTGCGAACAGCAGCCGTGGGCGTCCTCTCCCCTGCACCTCTCAGCAGCCGCGGGCGCCCTCTCCCCTGCACCTCTCAGCACGCCGCACATTTGCATCCCGATTGCTTCCTCCTGAACAATTTAGACTTTGACACGACCGCCGAGACCCGCCGGCTTTTTCCAGAAGAGGCGGTGTGTGGTTCCGACGGCTGCACCCCTTCCCCCGCCCCCTAGGGCCAGGAGGCGGTTGGTACCTGGCGTGCAATCTGCAGAATTAACATTCCGGGAGGAAAGGAGTCTCCCCGATGCGGGCACAAACCCCTAATCCGTTTTATTCTGGGAAGTATTTGGCACCTCGAGGCTCTGCGGCTGGTCAACCAGCTCTTTGTTGACCGGGGGTGGGAGGTCCCCGTTCTGTTTGGAAGGAAGTGACACTCGGAGCCTTTTATAAAGTGGCTGGTTTTCCCTTCAGCTTTCGGTGAAGGATGGATCTGTAAGCTGCCTGGGTTGAGGGGGGGGGGGGTGGACGGGGAGGGGAGACATAAATCACTTATGAATTAATAGGCGACACGATTGTCAGCAAAAGGCCTCCCCACCTCACAGGCCCTGCGCTTTTCATAACGAGCCTGCTCATCCACCCAGCAAAATATAGTGGCGCCGCCTCTGGCCCCCGCCTCCGCACAGAGACAGGCCAGGAGGAGACAGAGAAGTTCTAGAACAGGGTGCAGACCTTCGGGGGGACAGCCTGGGAGGGGCCTGGCCTCGGGGAGGCCTGGGAGTGACCCAGGCTAACTGCAGCTCGGGAGGAAATACCCGTGCAGGGTGCCCCAGGGAGAGTGGTTGGTATAGTTGGGGGAGGGGCTGGAAGCTGGGTGGCAGGGAATGAGGTGGAAATCGGGACAGGTTCAAGTTAGGTGCTAGGGGTTCACTGTGCTAGGATGAACTACTTGGTCGTTTTTCTTCCTTCCTTCCTTCCTTCCTTCCTTCCTTCCTTCCTTCCTTCCTTCCTTCCTTCCTTCCTTTCTTTCCTTTTTCTTTTCTTTTTTTTTTTTTTTTTAAATATTTCATTGATTTTTTTACAAAGAGGAAGGGAGAGAGACAGAGAGCCAGAAACATCGATGAGAGAGAGACATCAACCAGCTGCCTCCTGCACACCCCCCACCGGGGATGTGCCCGCAACCATGCCCTTGACCGGAATCGAACCCGGTTTTGGCGGTCATTTTTCTATAGACACTAACGCCTGAGAGGGTGCCATTCACCCAACCAATATCCACCCATCCCCCAACCCAGCCATCCTTCCATCCTCCCATTCCTTCGTCAACCCTCATCCATCCATCTTTCTAGCTACCGACCAAGTTAATATACTCTGTCCTAGGCACACGTTTTTTCTTTCTTTCCTTTTCCCGAGTCCTCAAGTTCTTGAGGTTTCCCCCAGCAACGCCTTAGATCTATTCTACTCCCGCGTTATTGTGTCCACCTGCAGACTGCCCAGGTGATGGTGTTGTTGGAAACAAGGAAGGAATAGTCATGTGACAGCAAGGCTCACCTGACCGGTGTCTGGGACAGGACAAAGGTAGCACGGGTAGGTGTGCTGACACAAAATGACAGGGAAATCGCATCCTGACAAATAATTACTTCAAAAGGCAGTTAGGGTCCCATTACGGCATATGGCCACACACACCCTTCACATAACTAGGATGTATTTATGTCATTAGCATTAAAAAAAAAATTCAGCCAAAAACGGTTTGGCTCAATGGATTGAGCGTCAGTCTGCAGACTGAAAGGTCTCGGGTTCGATTCCGGTCAAGGGCATGTACCTTGGTTGCGAGCACATCCCCAGTATGGGGTGTGCAAGAGGCAGCGGATTGATGATTCTCTCTCATCGATGTTTCTAACTCTCTACCCCTCTCTTTTCCTCTCTGTAAAAAATCAATAATATATATTAAAAAAAATGACTTAGAAAAAAAAAAGTTCAGGGTTAAGAATGCACTGTTTAGCCCTAACTGGTTTGGCTCAGTGGATAGAGCATAGGCCTACAGAACAAAGGGGCCCAGGTTCGATTCCAGTCAAAGGCATGTACTCTGATTGTGGGCACATACCCAGGAGGGAGTGTGCAGGAGGCAGCTGATCGATGTTTCTCTCTCATCAATGTTTCTCTCTATCCCTCTCCCTTTCTCTCTGTAAAAAAATCAATAAAATATATTTTAAAAAAAAAAGAGGATAAATCTCATTTTAAAAAAATGCTCTTAAAAAAAACAAAAACCCTCTGTGCAATAACCTTTTTGTTGAGCTTTTGTTTTTTGTCTTTGGAGTGGTGGGGGCAAGAGAGGGGAGCACTGTTTTAGGTCTTGGTCTTCTTACATGGGTTAAATTTTGCAAATACTTTGGCTTGACATCTTTCATTATCCTTCATGGTGGAAAAAAAAATCCATGCAGATTATAGAAGATATTACACACAATAGACACACACACACACACACCCTCTTAACATAAGCCAACACCACCCACAGACAACTAACTACTGTGAACAGGCTGGTATATTTTTTTCATTCTCTTTTCTCTGCTTATTTTAAACTGAGATCATTAATTTTATGCAGCCTGGACTCTGACTTCCCTCCCTCCATTGAATGCGTGAAATGAGAAAATGCATTAACAGTGGGGGACCCCGCACGGACGGTCCACGTTTCCCCAGCCAGGGGCCCGGTCAGCAGTGCCGGGCTCAGCAGTGTCCAGTGTTTTGCTTTTACTGAAAGATGGAGACCATCCTGTACCTTCCGCCTTCTGTCAGAACTCCCATATTCCCTTCGGGTAGAATTCTAGACACAGACCCACTCAGAGAAACATTTTTAAAAAGCCGCCGAGCTTCAGTCCCTGCGGTCACATTGCCTTCCACAGGCCCTTGGCCTTCGCGGAAGTTCGGGGGGCCTGGCACAGGCGCCCCAGCTCTCCGGGGGCTAAGAGAATGGGGTGCCTGGTGCTGTCCACCTGGTGAGTATGCTGTGATGCTTCAGAGAAAAAATTGTAAAGAAAAGGAAAGAAGGAAGAAAGGAAGGAAGAAAGGAAGGAAGGAAGGGAGGGAGGGAGGGAGGGAGGAAGGAAGGAAGGAAGGAAGGAAGGAAGGAAGGAAGGAAGGAAGGAAGGAAGAAAATGATTTGCCTTCCTGCCCTCTGCGGTTCCAAACCCGATCTTTTTATAAGAAATCTAAAGAAACGGCTCAAGATCCTCCGTCCTGAGTTTCTAACCTCGCTGCGGGAACTAGAGAGTGTACCGAGTTTCTGTTGAACCAGGCAATTTCCTGCTCCCTTTTGACCCTCATTAGAATTCAGACTGTTGCCACCTCTCAGAATAGTGTCCCCTCCAGCCTCCTAGAGCCTGGCCATCACGTCCGGTCAGGGAGCCTGGCCGCCCCTGCAAAGGGGCTGGGGCCGGGGCTGCAGGGGACGTGGGAAGTGTGGGGGCGCCTTGGCCAAGTCCCCTGAGTCCCCTTCCCAGCTCTGCCAGCCGGGGCCACCACAGCAGCGCGCCCCGGCCTCCTGCGCTGGCTCGGCGCCCCGGCGGCCGGCGGGCACTCACCTCCGCCGTACATCTGGCACAGGTAGGGGAAGCGCCACACGTTGCCCAGGCCCACGGCGTAGGAGATGCAGGCGAACACGAACTGCAGCGGGTTGGCCCACAGCGGCCGCGCTTTCTCCATGCTGGCGGTCCGCGCTGGGCTGGCCTCCCGCCCCGGCGCCCGCTCAGCTGCTTAGGTGTCCGGCCGCCGGCGTCCCGCCCCGGCCTGGGGGTGGCCCCGCGCCGGCCCGCCGCCCGCCGCCTGGTAATGGCTAATCTCATTAACGGCGCGCCCGGCCGAGGGGCGAGGCTGGTGAATGGGTGACGCGCGGGGTGCCCCACCCCGCCGGCCCCCGAGGCCGGGAAGGCGCTGGAGATTGCGCCGCCCCGTCCCGTCCCGGGGCTGGAGGTCGGGCTGGGGAGCTCCTCAGAGTGATCAACCACCTCCCCAGCGCTTCCTGGGCGCCTCCTGTGTGCTTTGCCTGGTGGGGACAGGACTGAGAACCTGCCTGCAGCTGACATTCTGGCAGAGCAGTGTTTCCCAAACTTTTGACACATGGGTACCCCTTCTGTAGGTTCCGTCACGCTGAGTACCCCTCGTGCTCATGAGAACGCAGAATCAGGCGCAGCTAAGCACGGTGCAGTGCACATCCCCACCGAACTCCGGTGCAACGCATACCCCACCAGACTCTTCCCGTACCCCCGGGGGGACAAGCACCACACTTTGGGAGACACTGTGGGTGAGGGACACACTGAAGAACTGAACTGAATAAGATGCCCCCCCCCTCGTTCTTCATGTCTGACCCACAGAACAGACAGTTTCATTGGGTTCATCAACGTCCACATGTAACAGGGTGAGATGCAAGGAGGGCAATCCAGGCAGAGCAAAGGGGTGAGTTACGTGAGCCGTTTCCCCACGCTCGGCTGGTATGGTCAGGGAGGGCTTCCCGGAGGAGGAGGCATGGAGGAAGCGAGGGACCTCCTCCCCCTTCCAGAGGAAGAGCCGTCCAGGCAGCCCCACTGCTATGCATCCACTCAACAGACCAGCCCTAGGTGCCTGCTGTGTGCAGGGCCTGGGGCGAGGCTCCAGAGGGCCCTGTGCAGCCCCCAAACTGGGTTTTGAGTAACTGCCATGGGGGGGGAGGGGGGACTCTGCTTCTTGGCCAGTCTAAGGGCCAGAGACGCTGATCATTAGGCTCGGGGTGGGGCCTCAGAAACCTGCTAAGAGGCCATGTGACACAGCACCAGCAGGCTGGAGGCTCGCATGTGCAACACGCTGAAGAAGCTAACAGTGAGGACACCTGTTGAGCAGGCCTGGCACACAGTAGGAGCTAAGCATATGAGGAGCCAATGCAGACACAGGGACCACTAAGAAGAAATGAAAAGCCGAGCTGCTGGTGGAAGTCCTACTTGAAGCCAAAATGATATCACCTCCGTGGGGCAGCCCGGCTGGACTTTCCCGGGAGTTCCTGCTGGGCTGGTGGCAGAGGAGCACACAGAGTGCTCGGCTCCTCCCGCACATTGCCTGTTCTGGATCATTCTACCTCCAAAACGCAAAGCAGAAAAATCCAGCAAAGCAGGAAAGCCAGCAAGCCAGCTGGATAATCCCACAGGAAAATCTAGCAACGCAAAAAAAAAAAAAAAAAAAAAATCCGGCAATCCAGCAGGAAATTATTATATATATATATATTTGATTTTTTACAGAGAGGAAGGGAGAGAAAGTTAGAAACATCTATAAGAGAGAAACATCGATCAGCTGCCTCCTGCACGCCCCCTACTGGGGATGTGCCTGCAACCAACGTATGTGCCCTTGACCGGAATCGAACCTGGGACCTTCCAGTCCGCAGGCTGACGCTCTATCCACTGAGCCAAACCGGTTTCGGCTGGAGAAATTATGTTTTTACTTTTAAAATTTGGAATCCAGACAGTGTTTTTCCTATTGCCGGCCTCCTTCCCGAGGGAGCCCGCCATCCTGGCTTTTGGCGCTGCTTTGAGTTGTACATGAATGGGCTCAGATACGTGCTCTTCCGGGCCTGGCTTCCTGGGTGGGGCCCATTCATGCCCGGGTGTGAGTTGTCGGTTGTTGGGTGCTCCGTGTGAATACACTGGTTGAGCACCATGGATGTGTGTGCTGTCTCCAGCGTGGGGCTCTCATGGATGAAGCGGTAACGACACGCTAGTATGTGCCGTCCGGTCCACGCAGGCCCCTGCGGCTGGGCACTTCTGGGCTGCAGGGCGGGTGGCTGTCAGCGGAGTGGTATGGCCCAGCCGTTTCTAGAGAGGCTGCACCAGGTCACACTCCCACGAGTTTCTGTTGCTTTGCATCTTGACTGACGCTTGTCCTGTTCTACACAGGCTCATGGGTGTGGCACGATCACTCCCTGTGGCTCTGAACGTGACCTCCCTGCAGGCTAACTGGGTCATCGGGGTGTCGTCTTTCAGGAAGTGTCTGCTCAAGCCTCTTGCCGGTATTTAATGGGCAGGGCTGTCCTTTTTCTACCCCCAGTTCTCTCTATATTCTGGAGACGCACAGTTCTCTCAATATTCTGGAGACGCGAGCTCTGTGTCAGTCTCATGAGCTGCACACTTCTCTCCGCCCGCGAGTTGCCTTTTTGTTGTCAGTGGTGTCTGCTGATAAACAGATGTTCTTAATTTGAACAAAGTCCAATTTGCCCATCTTTCCCTCCAGGGTTCTCTTTTGGTTAAAAAACAGTCAAGTCCTCGTGAAGAAAATTCTCCAGGATCATGGAGATAGTCCTGGGAGTTTAAATTTGTGGCAGAGTCTGCCTCAGCAGTCTTCAGATATGGCTGAGTGTGTGTGTGTGTGTGTGGGTGTGTGTGTGTGTTTTATTGATTTCAGAGGGAGAGAGATAGAAACATCAATGATGAGAGAGAATCATCGATCGGTTGCCTCCTGCATGGCCCCCTACTGGGGATCGAGCTTGCAACTCGGGAATGTGCCCTTGACTGGAATCGAACCCAGGACCCTTCAGTCTGCATGCTGGCATTCTATCCACTGAGCTACACCAGCTGGGGTGATAGGCTGCCTTTGTAATGTTGTTGCCTTCACATTACAAAGGCACAAAGGCACTGGACAAGGCGTGCTGCCTCCTCCAGCTATCTGCTTGGCGTTCTTATTCTCGCAAATGAGTTTTTCCTTGAGGGTACCTGGCTACCAGGTGCCATTGAGGACCTGGGCACCTTGGAGGGATGCCACCCACGGCTGTCTGTCACCGGGAACCGGAGGCTGCTAGGACTTGGTTGGTTTGACATAGGCAAGGCCCCTCTTCAATTCCCTGCCCCCGTCAGGAGGAGGCCAGCCCTCCCTCCCTCCATACGGCCAGACTCCCTGGAGCCTGTCCAGGGTATGCAGGCCTCAGGGGGGGCAGAGGCCGCACAGAGAGACGTCTCCAGAGAGCCCCACAACAGGGCTAAGTCCTCAGAGGTTCCCCACACCTTCCTGAAATCCACCCGATAGCTCTAATCTGACCAGACCAGCTGTGCTGCTGCGGCCGCTGGAGGGGGAAGGACCGGCCTGGGAAGGGTGAGTGCGCTTTCAGCAGGATGGGCAGAACAGGGCGGGGAGGTGAGCGGTGGCGGCTGGGAAGTGTTTAAGAACCAGCTCTGCAGCCGCAGCTCTGATGTGCAGCATCTGCCAATTTCTGTGGTGTAAATATTCCCCTGGTGGCCAGCCCTAAGCTACCTACGCGGTGCCCCTGGACGTGGAGTTGGGGAGAGGCGGGCAGGGGCACACCGCTGTATTCATTTCCCACGACACATAGGCAATGGCCATCCATAACCTCAAGAGCATACATGATAGTGTAGTAAAGAATTAGGAAATGGTGGGTATGGAGCATTTATAACCTCTGTTTTTGTTTTTGTTTTCTTTTGCATAATGGTCATGTTTAACAATCAGACCATGAGTCCCTGTTGGTACAGCTGGGAAGCCGACCGAGTGGCATAGCTGTCACTCAGGACACAGTTTCCGGAAGGATGCCAGCAGTTTATCTGATTTCCAGACGAGAGTGGAGAAAGGGGACGGCCATGACTCAGCTGCCCGGGTGTGGTCATGGCCTGGTGCCAGGATGCCAGGTTCTGACCTGACCAGTCACGGCCACGAAGCTTTCAAAAGCAGCCCTGGTGACCCGCTGTAGCTTAACCCCCCTCAGTGGCTCCCAGTTCCCCACGAGATCAAGGCCAAAGTCCTCAGCCGGGTCTGGAAAGCCGTGAGGAATCTGACCCTTGCTCACCTAGGTTCTGGGAGAAGCTAAACTTCTCATCTTCTGGAAAACGTGCATTTTAATACGTCTGGGTCGTTCCCTCAGCCAGGAGCGCCTCTCCTCCTCCACCCGGGAAACGCTTGTTCTTCCTGCCCCGGGGGAAATGCACCCCTTTTAGGGAGCCCAGCACCCTCCTGGCAGCCTATGCCCCAAGCCTAGGTGCACGTGTTTCTAAGGCTATTGGTGCTGCCCTGTCACTCACGGTGCCCGGCATGTCCCCTCCGGTCTGTGCTGGCTGCCAGCTGCTGCATCCTCCCAGTCATGGGGGCGGGTGGTGGCGTCTCCTGAGCCTGGACTGTGGGCTGCTCCTTGGACAAAGCAGTGTCCGAATGCCGTTCCCCCGCTCCCTCCATCCTCCCTGTCCCAGGTCCCGGGAAGAGGGAAGATGGGAGCTTCCTTCTCTCTGCTCCTCGTCTCCCACAGCAACTCCATGAAGCCACTCCAGCTGTACAACTGGAAACCCCAACACTATCTCCTGCACCCCATCCCCACCCCCTCCTGCAGCCTCTCTCTTCTCCTGGGACCGGTGTCTGGCCCAGGTTTCCAGCTCTGGTCCGTGTGCCTCAAACCTCTTCCCATCCCCTCATCTCACTGACGACTTAACAAAGGTCCTGAGAACCCTACGGACGGCTGGACAGCTGGAGGGCACCCCTTCCAGGCTGGCGCCTGCTCCCTCCCGGGGGTCATGGCGTCTCTCCCGCCTCATCCCCACTCCTCCTGCAAGTAGGTGGTCCACATTCTCTGCGTCCATCCCTCACCACTCTGTTCAGTCCTTCATCTCTTCTAAGGGAGTCACGTGGAATGCAGACCCCAGTGATGACGAATGCCATATCTGTCCAGTAACCTCCGTCCTGACAGCCCA